GCAAGCCCAAATAAAATAATGAACTAGCCCTGGTAATGCTGTAGGACAAGCACAGGACTGTTAGCCCACAAGGCTGGCAGTTCAAATCCACCAGCTGCTCTGCAGGAGAAAGATGAAGCTTTTTGCTCCTGTAAGATTTACAGCCCTGGAAAGAAATGCTATAAAGGGTCTCTGAGTTGAAATCGACAGGAGTCCAGGTGGCACAGTGGGCTAAGCATTGGGCTGCTAACAGAAAGCTCAGTGGTTCAAACCCATCAGTTGCTCTGGGGGAGAAAGACAAGGCAGTCCGCTTCCATAAAGATTTACAGCCTAGGAAACCCTCGGGAGCTGTCTACTTGGTCCTGTAGGGTCACTGTCAGAATCAACACCGTGGCAGTAGGTTTGGTTTTGTGACCATTGAGAGAGACAAGATAGCACTATGTACCTTTTGATGGAAGTATCTAAGATCACAATGGCGTACTCTTGGCAAAAAAAAAAAAATCTAAATCAGGCGTTTTTATAGGTCTAACTTCATTCTGGAGTCCTGGAGTGGCACTGTGGGCTAACGCGTCAGACTGCAAAGTGGTTTGAACTGCAATGTGGGTGGTTCAAGCTCACCAGCTGCTCCTTGGAAACCCTATACAGGGTTGCTGTGGATCGGAATCAACTCGATGGCACTTAACAACAACAACTTCCTTCTGTTGTACATAGGGTTGGTATGGACTCGATGGCACCTAACAACAACTATGAAGACAAGGACAGCAGACTTGTAAGGAACCCAATAACCATTTGCAAGGTAGAGGAGTAGTAATGAATCAGAATTCAGGAAACTAGGGGGAAATTAACCAAAATAGTAACAAAAACCCAAGCCCACTTCCATCAAGTCACTTCTGACTTGTAGCAACCTTGTACACGGTTTATTGCTGAAGCTGTAAACCTTGACCAGCGCAGAAAACCTCATCTTTCTCTCACTGATAGACTGGAGGGTTTGAACTGCTTACCTTGCAGTTATCAGTCCAGTGATTACCCTACAAAGCCACCAAGACTCCTTGACCAAAATATTAGATTAAAAATCACTGATTATTTTTTGGGTGGGGGTAAAGATGTACAGCTTTGGAATCCCGCTGCTGGATTACTGTGAGTCGGAAATGACCCCACAACACTAAAAAACAATACTGGAATTTATACCTGTGTTTGGTAGAAGAGGTATTATACTCATATTTTATGTCTGTAGCTTTCAAACTTGAGCATACATCAGAATCACCTGAAGTGCTTATTGAAATGGAGTGCTGGACCACGACCCCGCAACCCCATAGTTTCTGATACAGCAGGTCTGGGATGTAGACTGAGAATATGAATGTCTAACAAGTTCTCAGGCGATGCTGTGCCCACATTTTGAAAACCACTGCATTGGATTAACTGTCTAACTTTCCACAAAAGGAGCTAAGTTAGCTGAGTTCTGTCTCCCATGAGTTACAACACTCAGATGGCATTCCGTAAATTGGAAGAGAATTCACTATGTTCCAAGGCTGGAGTATGGTGTAATAACTCAGGCTGCATGGATGCAGGAAGACGAGAAAGAAAAGGCCCTCACCTCCACCACTTCTTGCTTTAAAGACTGGCAACCACTGAACTCCCTCGTTTACCTCTTGCATCTGCTGCCCTTAGCCCTCTGCTCTCACTCTGTAGGGTCAAAGATTCCCAACATAGGAGTCTAATAAAGCTGCCTAAAGCCCAGGATCAATCCCCCCATCATTTCCAAACTCAAATTAGTTTAAAAGATGAAATAAGGATCCCTGCAGCCTGTAGAGTCTCAGAGGCACTGTAGCAAACCCCAAAGTAGATCTGTTCCATGTTGAGGAGGACGACTGCAGACTGGAAAGCTAGAAATCTACAGCCAAATTCTGCCTATTCTGTTAACTCTGTGACACATAATGAGTCATTCAGCATTTTCAGACCTTAGCTTTTCAACCTGCAAGAAAAAGAATTCCTTCATTGTGAGAGAAATGGGACACCTAGAAAAATATTAGCCAGCATTCCTTGGCTAAACAATATTGTTTGTTAAACTTTAATGATGTCATACTTTATAGTTTAACAGCAAAGTGTTTTTGTATAGATGTGTATGTGTGTGTACACATATATACATTAAGTAGTAGATGCTCACAACGACCTTGTGAGGTAAGTAAGTAAGGGACTGAAAGGTAAGATTCTGGCCAACTTCAGCATCAGAGCCCAGGACTCAAAAAACCTTGACTGTCTCAATGAAGTCAGTGTTCTTTCCAAACAACACACTGCCTTCTCTCAATTGATTTCAATTAAATATGGGACTATATAGACTATATAATGCATAAAAAGAATGCCCCTAAAAAGAGCAGAGAGGTGCATGCAGCTAAATCTACAGGGGCAAGGACCCAGAAAATTAGGAAATAAGAGTTGCCTCTTTCAGCTAAATGTCAAGAAGAATCCTTAGAATATCATTTAACATTTGGGCAATCTCATTTCCACAATCTCACAGTTCTCTTCCAGGACCCTCTGATTTGTTCATCCTAGGAGATTTTCTAAGAATCTAGGAAGAGAGGGAGCGGTGGTGAAATGCACATGCCTCAGGGAACAGCAAAGCCTTTGTCTCATACACACTGTACAAAGAGCTGAAACTCCGTCTCTGCTGCAAGACCGCAAACATCCTCTATCGTAATTCTGCATTGTCATGGCAGTGACACATGTGGTGACTCATGTCTGGCTAGCACAAGATTGGAAAAGGATTTTCCGTTGTATTAAATCCCTGTACCAATACCCCAAACCTTCTAGTTCCAATTTAAGTTTTTGCAACTTTTGGGCTTGGGGCTCTGCACTGATTCCTCACTCAGTAATAAGACTGATAGAAACAACCAATCATGTACTGATTGCCTTTTAAGGGATAGGCACAGTATTAAGGGCATTATAAAATATCTCTGTATTAATCATTAACAGTAATAATGTGTATTGATCTCTTCCTAGCCAGACCAAAAAACAGTGAAGAAAATCACCAACTCAAGGAAATAATTAGTCTAAAGACCTAATGGATCACGTGAACCACAGCCTTCAAAAGAACTAGATGGTGCCCACTATGACTACTAACTGCTGTCATTGGAATAACAATAAAGGTCCTGGACAGAATGAGAGGAAACTGTAGAACACTCAAAATCATAAAAAGAATCACACTTACTAGTCTGTTAGAGAAAGGTGGGCCACCTGGGACTATGACCCTTACACACCTTTTAACCTGGAACTGAACCCATTCCCAAAGGTCTGCTTTCAGTCAAACAACAGGCCTACAGCGTGAACAGTGACACTTGTGAGGGACAGTCTCCTCAGAACAACCAACCACATGAGCCAGAAGGGTAGCATTTACCCAAAAATAAAGTTCAGAAGTCAAGAAAGAGCAGGAAGATGGTCAAATGGTAATAGGGAACCCAGGAAAACGGTGTGGAGAATGCTGTTACACTGAGAGTGCAATGTAACAAAATGTGAATAAACTGTGGAACGGGAAACTAATTTGCTCTTTCACATAAACAACAACGAAACGTAATTTTAAAATGTGATCATTTATTGAGCACTTACTTTGTACCAGCCACTATAGATGTGTTTTATATGTGATCTCTACGCCACATTTATCATCTTTCTTTTCATAACCAGGCATCAACAATAAATTTTTTTAAATGTGGGAGGAGTGCCTATAGTGAGTGCTCAGAACATTATACGGACACTATACACAGATTCTCTTCATTGTTGTTGTTAGGTGCCATCAAGTTGGTTCTAGAACATAGAGACTTTATGCCTAACAGAACAAAACACTGCCCAATTCTGCACGATCCTCACAACTGCTGCTACATGTGAGTCTACTATTGTTACCACTGTGTGAATCCATCTCGTTGGGGGTCTCCCTCGTTTTCACTGACCCTCCACTTCACCAAGTATGATGTCCTTCTCCAGGGACTGGTCTGTCCTGACAATATGTCCAAAGTATGAAAGACGAAGTCTGGCCATCCTGGCTTCCAAGGAGCACTCTGGCTGCACTTCTTCCAACACAGATTTATTTTTCTGGCAATTCATGATACTTTCAATATTCTCCTTCAACACCATAAATCAAATGCATCAATTCTTCCACAGTCTTCCTTATTCACTGTCCAACTTTTACATGCATATGAGGTTACTGAAAATACTATGGGTGGGTTAGGTGCACTTTAGTCCTCAAACTGACATCTTTGCTCTTGACCACTTGAAAGAGGTCTTGTGCAGGAGATCGGCCTAACACAATATGTCATTTGATTTCTTGACAGCTGCTTCTATGAGTGTTGATGGTAGATGCAAGCAAAATGAAGTCTTTGACAACTTCAATCTTCTCTCTATTTATCATGATGCTATTTTTTGGTCCACAAGGGAGGATTTTTGATTGCTTTAAATTGAGGTGCAATCCATACCGAAGGCTGTGGTCTCTGATCTTCATCAGTAAATCCTCTCGTTACAATATGGAGAAAGAGTGAGAATACACCAGGGCCCACTTTGAGTCAACGGTATCCTGGCTCAGCTTTTCTCTACTCGGGGTACTTGTTGTTGTTGTTGTCAGGTGCCATCGAGTCGGAACCGACTCATAGCGACTCCATGCACAGCAGAACGAAACAATGTCCGATCCTGGGCCAACCTCACTACCGCTGCCACACTTGAGTCCATCAATGATGCCACCTGGCTGATCCATCTCGTTGGGGGTCTTCCTCTTTTTCTCTGACCCTCCACCTTACCCAGCATGACATCCTTCTCCAGCGACTGTTCCCTCCTGACAATATGTCCAAAGTATGAGAGATGAAGCTTAGCCATCCTGACCTCCAAGGAGCACTCTGGCTGCACTTCTTCCAAAACAGATCCATTGGTTCTTTTGGCAGTGCATGGCACTTTCAGTATTCTCCTCCAACACACTTGGGGTACTTAAACACGGTAATAATGGAAATTTGGAAAGGGATAGCAGAAACGGTAATGTCTACTTTCTAAATTAAATGGGTGTTTTGATGGCACAAAAGATGTGCTTTCTGACGGAAGCTCTTGTCACATTTAGTACAGTGAAAAGGTTTTTCTCCTGTATGTGTTCTCTGGTGTGTGAGAAAATGGGAACGCTGGTTAAAGGCTTTGCCACACTCAGGACACTGGTAGGGTCTGTCCCCTAAGTGGATTCGTTGGTGAGTAATGAAATGGGAACTTTGGTTAAAGCTCTTCCCACACTCGCCACACTGATAGGGTCGTTCTCCTGTGTGGATCCGCTGGTGCTTAATGAGAGCAGAGCTGTCAGCGAAGCCTTTCCCACAGTCAGGGCACTTAAAAGGCCGCTCACCTGTGTGTGTTCGCCGGTGGGTGACCAGATGGGAGCTCTGACTGAAACTTTTGTGACAGTTGGGACAACTGAAAGGCTTTTCCCCTGAGTGAATACTCATATGAGCCACAAAGTGAGAACTGTCTCTGAAGCCCTTCCCACACTCTGGGCATTGAAAGGGTCGTTCTCCTGTGTGAGTTCGCTGGTGCTTAATCAGATCCGAGCTCTGACTAAAATTCTCCCCACAGTCTTCACACCTATATGGCTTCTCTCCTGTGTGGGTCCTCTGGTGGGTGATGAAATTTGAGCTCCGACTAAAGCTTTTATGACATTCGAGGCATGCATAGGGCTTCTCTCCTGTGTGGGTTCTTTGGTGCAGTATGAGGTGTGGCTTCCGCCCAAAAGTCTTTCCACACTCGTGGCACTCATAGGGTCGCTCACCTGTATGGGTTCTCTGATGCTTGATGAGTGTCGAGCTATCGCTAAATTTTTTCTCGCACCCACTGCATTTGTAGGGTTTCTCTCCTGTGTGTATTCTGCGGTGGGTGACGAGGTCTGAGCTCTGTTTGAAGCCTTTTCCACACTCGATGCATTTATAAGGCCGCTCACCAGTATGGGTTCTCAGGTGTCTTATGAGGTAGGCACTCTGGTTAAAGCTCTTGCCACATTCTGTACACACAGGCTTCTTTTCTGCACATCCAGCCAAGAGCTTGTCTAAGTCCCTCTCCTGTGAAAAGGGCTTCTGCTGGCCCTCTCCTAGAAGGGTCCCATGTTGCCCTTCTAATTCGAGGTCCCTTTTCTCCCAGGGTCTTCCCCAGCTAGGAGAATTAGAAATATTTTTATTGACTCTTTCTGAGGATGTTCCACAGTGTTCTGCTGTTTCAGAAATGTCCTGATTGAGTTTTGTCATCTGAGTCTCAAAGTCTAAAAAATTAACAGAAAATAAAATTATTAGTCACTAGGAAAGAATATCCCAAAGCAGTAAGAATGATTAAAGTTACCATTTCAGTATCAGACGACACCTAATTTGATCATATACCTTTTGTGGAAAGTTTATTAGAAAGTTCAGTAACCTGTGATAAGCACTGGACTGTGAATCACAAGGTCCATGGTTCAAGCCCACCAGTCGCTCTGTGGGGGAACAATAAGGCCCTTCGGCTCCCACAAAGATTTGACACCTCGGAAACCCTATACAGGATCACTATGAGTCAAAATCAACTCAATGGCACTTAACAACTACAAGCTTACAGAAAACATGAATTCTCAAACCTCTTTTTATTTTTAGATGGCCAGATGAATCCTGAAGTGCACCTGATATCCTTCCAGGGCACACCAGACATTGTCAAAACTGGGCAACTCCTTTCAAAGCTGTTGAAGTCTAGACAAATGTGAAATGCTTATTTAAGATGCAGACTTAACTCGGCCAATTACTGATTGTCAGAGAAATCAAATGTAAACTTCTAGTAGTAAGAACAAATGTCTGGGGCAGCTCTCCAAATCCCTCCTCTGAACAAGGTCAGAAATGTTTGGTTTCTTCTCCTTGGGCAGCACCTACATCTTACCTGTGTGACTTTCTCTTAGCTTCTTTTCCTCAAAATTTTGGAGTTGTAGGACCCATGACTCTTCTTTCTGCTCCAGCTGAGAGATTAGACTTGGTTTAGAAATCCTACATAGAAGGTGGACATAATGCATTAATCTCAGCCAATGACATAAAGCTAGACCAAAATCCAGTCCCTCTGTCTTCCCTAGGTAGAAAGGAAAACCCAGGGAAAGCCTAACAGGTGTTTGGGCTCATTAAAAAAGCAGTCAAGGTGAAGTGGTAAAACAGGGGATCTCCCCAAAAGGGTAAGAAAAGACCCATTTCCTTCCATTAAAAAAAAAAAAGATCTGGGTGACAGAAATCCTAGAGGAATACAATAAGCCACCTCTGAAACCTCAAGGCTAACCTTGTTTGAATGTTTGGAGAGAGAATTCTATCAGGAGCAGAGCTGCAATGTGTTAACCCTTAGAAAGAATCAAGGAAGTTAACTATAATGCTCGTTTTTCAATTTCTCATAAGGGCAAGAGCTAATATGGCCATGAGAATAAAGACAAATACTTATAAGGAAAAATATGGACGAATGGCATGAATAAGCAATTTATAAAATGAATAAACAATCAAACAGCTTATAAATATAAAGGGAACCTCAAAAAGTTCATGGAATAATTTCATCATCTTTGAATATCATTTGTTCACAAACTTTTGGAAGCCCCCTCATATATGAAAAATCTTTTATCCTTTCCAGTAACCAAAGACATTCAAGTCAAAACAATGTTGCTGTTGTATGCTATCAAGTCTATTCCAATTTATAGTGACACTATACGACACAGGGGAATTGCCCCATCAGATTTCCTAGGCTATGTGGCACTATAGGATCAATATTAGACTTAGAACTACAAGGTCAGCAATTCAATCCCACCAGTTGCTCCTTGAGAAACCCTGTGCAGAGTCACTATGAGTCGGAACAGACTCGATGGCACTAAACAACAACAATCTATACAGGAGCAAGCGGACAGGTCTTTTCTCCCATGGAGCAGCTGGTGGCTTTGCACACTGACCTCGCAGTTCGGAACTGAGCCTTAAGCATTGCACACCAGAGCTCCTGTAAAACAGTGATCCACCTAGCAATATATTATAGAGGTTCAAAGTGCACACTGAAGAGTCACACTGACTATGTGAGCTTAAGCACATTAGTTAAACTTCCTGTGCCTCGGTGTCTTTTTTAAAAATTTCCCTTTCCATGTCTTCATCTATAAAACAGCGATAATAATAAGGCTTACTACACTTATTGTGAGGATTAAATGGTAAGGTATCAATAAACACATACTTCTATACAGTGCTTGCAGGAGTAAACTAATTGATTCAATCTTTCTGGAGAACATTTGACAAAAGAATCAAATACCTTACAAATGCATGTATTCTTTGATCCAGCAAATTCTATGTTTGGAAAGTCTAAGAAAATGATAAAAATTGTGCAAAAGACCAACTATTAGCTAATTATATTTCAATAAACACAACTGCAAAAAAGTAATTAGTTAAGAGATGTTAATTACAACATTAGTGAAAATATGGAAATTACCTAAATGTCTTTAACACAGAGAAATAAATATATTTGATGGAACCGTATAAAATTGCCATTTTTATATGTCAAAATGGTCCCCAAACTGAGCAAACATATGGTTCAATCTAACATAAATTATTGTATTCCATGCAACAATATAGTGTTTATTCTAAATGATACACACAAGAATATTTATTGTTGTATTAATATGTTTATGAAACAATGAGTAAGAAAGTAGGATGTATAGTATGATCCCAAGTTTTTGTTTTCTTTGTATTCATTAAATACTTCTCAAGCAAAAGATGAGAAGACTAGTAAATCTTGAATGGTGGGATTAGGAAGGACTTTGTTCTCACTAGGGATGACTTTTGTCTCATTTTACTTATTTTTTTCCTCAGTGAGCATATATCCTTTGTGTACTTGGTATGAAATAAAGCAAGGGAAGCGGTAGCTATCATATTTTAGAAAGAACACTAGAAGTGGTCATCAGGAGAGTGCCCTCTTTGCCACAAAGATCTGGGTTTGACTTACCTTTACCACTTAATTTCTCTGAGTCTCAGTGCCCTTAACTGAATATTGTCATTGTTGTTAAATACTGTCGAGTTGATTCTAACCCATAGCTACCCTGTATACGGTTTCCGGGGAGCAGCTGGTGAGCTTGAACCACCGACCTTGCAGTTCAAACGGCTTTGCAGTCTGGCTCATTAGCCCATAGCGCCACACCAGGACTGGACGAAAGTGTTGTGTCGAGATATTAACAGGACCATAGATGGCAACAACAGCTGTAAACCTTACAGTGCCATCAAATTGGAAGCTATTCTTTTTTTTCTCAAATGGAGGCAACAATTAATCTCACAAAAATCTGGAGTTCTAAGAGTCCTGGTGTGGTGCTGCAGGAGAATGCACTGTACCAATCCTCAGAAACCTTATATAAAGGTTTGCTATGAATCAGACCCGATTAGACAGCACTTCACAACAGCAACAAGAGACCAGCATCCCCAAAGACCACTCAGACCTGGACTCTCTCAAACTTTCTAAGTCTTACATCTTAGAGAATCACGTTCTTACCCTTTGATAGCCCATTGTCTAACTGTGTTGGGTGGCATCCCTGGAGAGGATTCTCTAGGCAGCATCCAGGTAAACTATTCTTCCCTGAAGTCCCCAGCCACATCATCTAGCGTCATCAGTTCCTAAAGCAAGAGACCTTAGTATACATCAGTAGCTCTCAGGATCTTCTCACCTGGTCTGAAAGGAAAAAAATGGGCAACAGGGCCACCAGCCTGTCCAAGCAAAAACCCTCCAGATTGGAACAGCTCTGTCAACCACAAGAAGGTAGCTTTTCTTAGTCAATTTTTACTTAATTCTCCCCTTGGCCAACTTTCCCATCACTAAGAGGCCTTGGTCTCCCACACACATCTTCAGAACCCTTAGGGTTTGTTTTGTTTTGTTTTTTAATATGTCACCTTTTTAAGAAATAGTAGAATGGAAAAGAAAAAGGATCATGCACAGGTAAAATGTGATCTGGAAAGCCATGGATTCTCTCCAATTACATTTTCCTCAGCAAACTAGGAAACTATGGACTTAATTAGGCTCATATTAGTTATAAAAACAGTACACTTTTCCTGGCTCACAGCCCAGAGATTTGGTATCAGCCTCACAGGATGAACTATTTAGACCTTCAAAGGGAACTGTCCTAAGTACCATTCTTTTTCAAGGTTTAACAGGAATCAAAAATGAGACTTTAAAAGAGAAGAGTTTTTTAAAAAAAGAAAAGGCAAGGCTTTTGTTTTGTTTTTTTAAAAAGCACTTACAAACTGCAAAATAAGTGAGATGCGCTGGAGTGAGTACAAACCAGAATGCTTAGGACATAAAAGCAGTCATTTAACATACAAATACAGCAAACAGAGTTGGTAGGTTGGTGAGAAGGTTCTGACTCCCAGGGACTCTGTTGTGAAGTACGGTGGAGTCAGTTCCCACTCTTAGTGACCCTGACCCTACAGGAGCAGAAAGCCTCATCCTTGTCCCATGGAACGGCTGCAGGATCCAAATTGCTGACCCACTATGTCACTAGGATTCTAGGATTCTTTGACAGCTGTATTATGGGGGGGGGGGGGGAATGTGTGTGTGTTGTGGGGAGGAGGATCCAGAGTTGATTCTTGGATGAATCAGTAATTTAATCAATAATCACTATGCTGCAATAATGAATATGCTTCTTTGTGACATTAGGAGTCATAAAGAAACATAAGATAAAAATAATTTCCTTAAAGAATTTCCAATAGAAATAGAAAGAAACTGATTCAGTGACCACCTGCTAACAAAGAGTTCGGTGTTTTCAATGAAGGATAGACCAGGTTTCTGTCCCCCTAATCAAAGCACCCACATACTACTAGAACACACACTTTTTGTGAACTTACACATTTACAGATATTGCTATTGATCACTTATAAAGTACCTAAGTTTTTAAGGACCTAAAAACAGCAGACGATCTCTGGTTTAAAACCTTAACAAAAATGATGCTATTAGGAACGAACACTGTAATCAGAATTTTTAGTAGAAGCCTTATACCTACAAGACTGTGATGAAGACACACAGGGGCCACTCGCAGGACGCAGAGAGAGGGAGAGAATTCTTGGCACGTTATCAGAAAGCTTGTTTCTCACCTGCCCTGAGCGCAGGTGACCCCCAAGGCCCATAAACACTAAGGTGCCATGGGGAGAAGCAGCACTTTGTTCCCTGGGTTTATTAATAGGAATATGACCGCACGATCTCCTTCCCCGCCGAGCTGCAGCGGTCAACGGGTCACAAATACAAGCTGAAATCAACACGACGGAACAAGAACATTGATTCGTAGAATGAGTTATCCCAACGATGGTCTGGGGATCCGCAGCTACCTCGTTCCACACCTCATCAAGATCCAGGAGCTCCGGAACCCAAGCGCCGGTCCCAGCAGAGAATGCTCATCTGCTGCGCTGGGGCTGTCGCCGTATTCGCACTCCCTGGAGCACTCACCGCCCCAGGGCTCGGCCAGGGATGGAGCAGGAAGTGAGGATCCTCTCGCACCCAGCCGTCACCCAGTCAGCTAGGCTGCAGCAGCTCCTCATAACGCCTCAGAGGGGTACGTGACAGAACTGTGGGACACAGGTGGGACCCTGGGCTAGTCAGCCAGCAGCCGGAAAACACTGCCTTTGTCCTCTTGTCATTGGCTTCTCAGTTTCCATGACGAGAAACCTTCAAGGTCTATAGGCTGATCGAGCTTTCAACCATCGCAAAATCATTCTGGGAAATGTAGTCCTGTCAAGCCCTCGTCAAAGACTTGGAGTCCTGGAAAGCCGTCTTTTGCAACAGTGATAACCTCTGAGTTACCCCAACCATAGGAGTCGCTGGGCGCGGGAAGTGGGGGTGTCAAAGAGAGGATCTGCAGACACTAACCTCTCTGGCCTTCGCTGTTAACAGTGGAGCACTGTCTGGCATCCTGCCCCCTTCGGAGCTAAGAGTATTTCTTTGCTCTGCCTTGGGGGGTTCTGCTCTCTTGGGTCTCCTGCCCTAACTAGAGATAGAAACTCGTCCTTCGCAAGTAGCTCCAGATGAATTGGGTATAAGAAACTCCAAGCAGAAGCAGTCTGCCAAAAACCAACATTCCCTACCTTTCATTAGCAACACAGCTCAAGTATAGTCTATTTCCATTGATTAATAAATAGTCAAAGAGGCAGAGGAGGGTTTCTAGTGTTCTGTAACATGTGATCCTCCTTGTTATTAGGTGCCTTTTAGTCAGTTCCAACTCATAGCAACTCTATGCACTATAGAATGAAAGCTTGCTCAGTCCTGTGGCATGCACACAATTGTTGTTACGTTGGAGCCCACTGTTGCCACTGTGTCCATCCATCTTGTTGGGGGTATTCCTCTTTTCCACTGACCCTCCATTTTAGCATGATGTCCTCCAGAGATTGGTCCCTCATGATAACGTGTCCAAAGTATGAGAGACCAAATCTCTTAATCCTGGCTTCCAAGGAGCATTCTGGCTGCACTTCAAGCCAAACAGATTTTGTCTGTTCTGGCAGTTCATGGTACTTTCAATATTTTTCACCAACACCATTGAATTTTCCTTATTCATTGCCCAACTTTCACATGCATATGAGGCAACTGACAATACCATGACTTGGGTCAGGCTACCTTAGTTCTCAAACTGATTGTTTGCTCTTTAACACTTTAAAGAGATCTTTTGCAGTAGATTTGCCTAGTGCAATATGGTCTCGGATTTCTTGACTGCTGATTCCATGCGTGTTGACTGTGGATCCAAGCAAAATTAACTTTTTGACAGCTTCGATCTTTACTCCATTTATCATGATGTTATTTATTGGTCCACTTGTAAGGATTTTTATTTTCTTTACATTGAGGTGCAATCCGTACTGAAGGCTGTGGTCTTTCATCTTTATCAATAAATATTTTAAGTTCTCTTGGCTTTCCACAAGTAAGATTGTATCTTCTGCATAGCTCAGGTTGTTAATAGTCTTCCCCCAAACCTGATGCCTTGTTCTTCTTCATATAATTCAGCCTTTCAGATTATTTGCTCAGCATACAGACTGAATAAGTATGGTGAAAGGATACAACCCTGACACACACCTTTCCTAATTTTAAACCATTCAGTATCCCCTTGCCCTGTTCAAATAACTGCCTCTTGGTGCATGTACAGGTTCCTCAGGAACACAATTAAGTGTTCTGAAATAAGCATTCTTTATAATGTTACCCATAGCTTGTCATGATCCACACAGTTAAAAGCCTTTGCATAGTCAGTAAAGCACAGATAAACATCATTCCTGTATTTTCTGCTTTTAATCAAGATCCATTGGACGTCACAATGATATCCCTTATTGCAAATCCTCTTCTGAATCCTGCTTGAATTTCTAGCAGTTCCCTGTTGATGTACTGTTACAATTTTTGGGTTATTTTCAGCAAGATTTTATTGGCATATAATAGCAATGAGAGTATTCAATGATTTCCACAGTCCATGGAGTCACTTCTCTTGGGAAGGGGTACAGATGTGGATCTCCTCATTGACCAGGTAGCTGTCTTCTAAATGTCTTGGCATAGATGTGTGAGGGCCTCCAGTGCTGTAACAGTTTGTTGAAATATTCCAATTTTTATTCCATCAACTTTTGGAGGCTTGCTTTTTTGTAACTTGGATTTCTTTCAATGTCGTTGGTTCTTGACCCTATGCTACCTCTTAAAATGGTTGAATATCAACAATTTCTTTTTGAGTCAGTGATTCTGTATTCTTTTCATCTTTTTTTGATGCTTTCTCCATCATTTAGTATTTTCCTCATTGTTTTTAAGTGCCATGTAGTCTGTTCCCACTCATAACAACCTTGTATTGGGTTTCCGAGAAGCGGCTGATGAGTTTGAACCTTCAACCTTGCAGTCCAGTGCATTATCCTACAGCACCACACCAGAACTCCATTTTGCCCATACAATCCTTCAGTGTTTCAAGTCAAAGCTTGAATTTTTAGTTTAGTTCTTTCAGCATGAGAATTGCTGAGGTGTTCTTCTTTTTTGGTTTTTTAACTCCAGGTTTTTAAACAGTGCGTTATAATACTTAACTTTGTCTTCTCAAGCTGCCCTTTGAAATTTTCTGTTCAACTTTTTGTTTCCCCATTTATTCCATTTGCTTTAACTTCTCTGCACTCAAGAGCAAGTATCAGAGACTTTCCTGACATCTAATTTTGTCTTTTCTTTCATGTCTTTTTAGTGATGGTGGTGGTAGTGTGCCGTGGAGTAGGTTCCAACTCACAGTGACCCTACATAAATTGGAACTCAGGTGAGAGTCAATGTTTACTTTGGGCAGGTCTCTTCCCTGAAAGATAAAAAATCCTTTCCATACAGTGAAGAAAACCTTCTAGTTAGACCTGTTTGTTGACTCATGGCAATTAAGAAACAAACAATGAAAGAAAACATTTTATGATAGGTTATAAGGTGCTTAGAATTACCAGTCAATGCAGAAGTAAGAAACTTCTTACCAGTAATCATAGTGCAGGTTAATGGACTAAAGTCTCCAATCAAGAGGCAGAGAGTGGGAGAATGGATTTTTTTTTTTTTTTAAAGCTGTTTACAAGAGGCATACCTTAAACCCAAGAACTTAGGTGGATAGAGAAAAGATGGGGGAAAAAAATTCTGTGC